AACATCTGTTTGATTGAGGTTTTAAATTTGGTGGTATTCTGGTTTTTATAATTATCGGGAAGTTTATTGTACAGATCGACATTTAAGGAGTTTTTGGATGAAGTTTCCAGTCGTAATCTTGGGTTGATGAGTGAGTTTCTATTTCTTGTATGGTAGTTGTGTATGTTATTATGCTTAATGAATAAATGAATGTTCTCGTGAATCTCTGAAAGACAATGAAATATATATAAAGCTGGTAAAGTCATAATATTCAATTTCGAAAATATCTGTCTACATGGCTCCCTGGGTCCTGCACCATCAATTATTCTGACGGCCTTTTTTTGGAGGATAAATATCCGTTCAGCCTGTGAGGAGTTGCCCCACAAGGTTATTCCATAGACCAGATGTGAATGGAAAAGTGAGAAATACGACATTCTGATGGCCGTTGAGCTGAATGATTTCTTCAAATTTCTTAATAAAAAAATTTGAGTGGATAGTTTTTTACTTAGATAATCAATATGGTCGTACCATTTGAGTTTACTGTCGAGGGTCATCCCAAGGAGTTCAACATTGCCGTGAGAGACATCTTTATTCATAGAAAAGACAATTTTTTGAGTTTTCCCTGGATTGTTGACGAGTCCATTCGGTTTAAGCCACTCGTCAACTTTGTTTTGTGTGGTGAGATCATTCTGTTGTAATGTGGCAATACTGTTGCTTGAGTGGAAGAAAGTAATGTCGTCCGCAAAAAGAATGCAATCGGATGGCTGAAGGTGATAGAATATGTCATTGACATATATTATGAATAGGAGGGGTCCAAGAACGGAGCCTTGAGGCACTCCTATCGTTGCTAGTTTAGTTTCGGAAACTGTTCCATTAAAAAATACATATTGTTGTCTGTCCTTTATGTAAGACTCAAAAAAGTTGTAGGTAGTACCCCTGATTCCATAACATTCAAGCTTTTGTAGAAGTACTGAGTGGTTGACACAGTCGAAGGCCTTGCTTAGGTCACATAGAGCACCTGGTCCATACAAAAATATGTCACCCTGTGGTTGTATTTATATTGAAACTACAATTCGAACATCCTTGAAAATTGAATAAACCTGCTGTTAATGCAGGTAGAATATTCTCACCACACGGATTATTTGTCAATATTTGTTGCATTGCATACATATGGCACGGCATTGGTGGTTACTTCACATGTTTATTTGAGTTAATTGTTTCGGTTGCAGAAAAAATAGCATGTTTCATTCGGATCAAAAGTGACTTTGTTCGACTCGCAAATTTTGCTTTCGCTCGGCTTCGCTAAACGCTCTGCCTCGCAAATGCAAAATTCGCTTGTCAAACAAAGTGTCACTTTTGATCCTAATAAAACAATCTACTATTCATCAATTGATGAGCAATTTGGTATAGTTGCTACCTACCAATTTTCAAAACCCTATCGCAAATAATGGGCGTGTACACCTTAGTAGAACTTTTAACTCAAACCATGTTTATAATGTGCCTTTTATACATAAATAATGATTGACGACATGATTCGATCGGAAAATTAACTGGAATGTTTTATTTGTGAAAAGAAATAATAGTACCTTCTGAAAACGGACCCTCTTATGACGTAGAAACCTCATCTCGCCATGGTTGAAAGAAAATACCAAACGCCCGACGGAGACTGAGGCAACTGATATATTAATTCTTTCAACTGTGATCTCGCGCTAATTCAATCTGTCAGAAATCATATATCATTCATCTTTGTCTGGAATAGTCTCGTTTCAGTATTAGGGTTTTGACGTCACATCATCACCCCGTTTTCAGAGGTCCGAAAAATCGTGAATTTCAATAATTTTTTATAAATCGTAGGGAGGTCACAGCAAGAAACGGTTTGCGGTGGTGAGCTAGTTTGGGCGAGTTCTATCGAATTATGAAATAACCTTTTTTGTGTGATATAAGCCCATTCAAAAGTTACAGTCCTGGCCGTTTTTTTGTGCACTACTCTGTATAACATTCCGTTATCAGATTTGCAATTGCAGAAATTTGCAGTCGGCTCTGCTACTATAAACTTCACGGAGGAATAAAAAACTCAATATAGAAAACTTCCACATTGCTTGCGAAAAATACTAGTTCACAAAACTAGTGCGGTAAAGTAGTACTTTTCGCACGTCAAAGGCTGCACTTCACCGAACGCTATTATCGCAAAATCGATCGGCAATCTGATGAAACTGGTTCTACGGCACGTACACAATACTATACCCTTTCAACTTCAATTTCGGAATCGGTGAGTTATATTTCGGAAAAAGTAATCTCGATTTCAGAATCGGTTAGTTCGATTTCAGAAATGGTAAACTCAATTTCAGAATCGGTGAGATGAATTTCAGAAAAAGTCCATTCAATTTCAGAAATGGTAAGTTGTATTTCAGAATTATTATTGGTAGGTTCAATTTCAGAAGATGAAATTCTTTTATATGTTTGAAATGTTTTTAATTGCAAAAGAGAAGATTGTTTACAGTGGATGAACGGAGTTTGAGAGCCCTATGTTGAATCAGATTGAACATATATGGGGTGCCTTCAAGTCAAAAGTGAAGAGCTTCTTGCAAGAGCATCGCCAAAGGGTCATAGCTGGAGATCCGAACAGATTGCTCAACCAGATAGAATTCAGACGATGTCTTGAAGAATGTGCAGATCATTCAATGAAAATGATAACACCTCCAATGTGTTTGCATTCTTATAATCATGTGCAACGCCACTATCTTCCAGCGATTCAGATGGAAGGCATCTGTGGATTAAATTGTTTTTGAAAAGTTGAATATTTTAAATATGGTTTGTTAATCTAACATGCAATTGGAGACATTTCGAACAAATTTGTATAAGGATTTTTGTAAACAATCTTCTCTTTTGCAATTAAAACCATTTCAAACATAAAAAAGAATTTCATCTTCTGAAATTGAACCTACCAATAATAATTCTGAAATCGAACTAACCAATTCTGAAATCGAGATTACTTTTTCCGAAATAAACTACTCAACACTAATTTCGTCGCACACCAAAATGTCGCCCCTGTTATAATGTGAATAACTTTTTTCAGTTTAGAACAATTCGAATTTGGTTCACACTGTTCGATAGCCCAGTCCTTCAGCTATATTCTCGTACTTCATTGAAACATAAGTGTATTCACAAAAAATCTCTACATGGTGTTTTCCGACACTGTGCGAAATTTCGGAATATTCAAAAGGCTCTCAAATGGTGAAAAAAATATGTTTTCTCAACTTCGACAACAGAGGCATGAAGATGATCTCATCACCTCGAGATATTTCGCGAATCAACTTCCTATCTCTCTTATTTACAGAGTGATCTCAAAAAATCAACTTTTTGGTTTTGCAGCCATAACTTTTTTTCCACGTCAACCGATTTTGGAAATCTTAGGCTCATTTTGCAGATAACACTTCAGATGAAGAGATCTGAATATCAGAATTAACTCAAGATAGCTATCAAAGATCTAGAGTTTTCTTGAAAGTGACCCAAATCTGGAACGCCCTCCGAATCTCGGTTGGGAGGAGAATTGAATGAAAATCAACTTGTTCTCGGAAAAACAATTCATTCTGGATGCATCCATATTCTCCTCGCTCTCAGTAGTCAAGAATTTTGCGTGAGGAAACACAATTGAAACATGTTCTTGCAAAAACATTAGATCATTTCTCCTCTGTAACCAACGTAACAAGAATCACAATGAGTGACTGACAAACCCGACCAGCTGAGGCTCATCATAAATGGTGTACATACCAACAAGAGCAACGGATTTTGATTTTTTCAATAAAGTGATTTTTGAATATGGAAAAGTATTCAAGCGAACAACGTTTATTTATTGTAAAAACGCATTTCAAAAATGGTGAAAGTTTCACAAAAACAGTTTACCAATTACGTAAAGTTTTCAGTCGTAATAATGCGCCGAACGAATCGACAGTAATAACCAAACAATTCGTGTCGGAGATGAGCCCTTTGAATGGATCGGACTGTCGTGTTTAGCAGATCCGCGATTTGGAGGGAAGATAACCCTTGTTCCCTCATTTTTTGTGGAATCAGTTCCAACTGGTCGGTCGTTAGATGCGGCATCGAAACTATCAAAATCTGTTTATGATTTGAAAACGACGTCTAATCTGACTTGTCAGTCACTTACTGTGGTTCTTGTAACGTTGGTTACGGGCCATGCATTACAGAGGAGAAATGGTCTGATGTTTTTGCAAGAAAATGTTTCAATTGTGTTTTCTTACGCACATTCCTGCGTACTGAGAGCGAGGAAGATATGGACGCATCCAGAATGAATTGTTTTTCCGAGAACAAGTTGATTTTCATTCAATTCTCCTCCCAACCGAGATTCGGAGGGCGTTCCAGATTTGGGTCACTCTCAAGAAAACTCTAGATCTTTGATAACCATCTTGAGTCAATTCTGATAGTCAGATCTCTTCATCTGAAGTTTTATCTTCAAAATGAGCCTAAGATTTCCAAAAACGGTTGACGTGGAAATAAGTTATGACTGCAAAACCAAAAAGTTGATTATTTGAGATCACTCTGTAAATAAGAGAGATAGGAAGTTGATTCGCGAAATATCTCGAGGTAATAAGATCATCTTCATGCCTCTGTTGTCGAAGTTGAGACAACAATTTTTTTCACCATGTGAGAGCCTTTTGAATATTCCGAAATTTCGCAAAGTGTCGGAAAACACCATGTAGAGATTTTATGTGAATACCCCTTATGTTTCAATGAAGTACGAGATTATAGCTGAAGGACTGGGCTATCGAACAGTGTGAACCAAATTCAAATTGTTCTAAACTGAAAAAAGTTATTCACATTATAACAGAGGTGACATTTTGGTGTGCGACGAAATTAGTGTTGAGTAGTTTATAACTCACCGATTCCGAAATTGAAGTTGAAAAGGTATAGAGCGAATGTATGTCCGTCTGTCTGCCTGTATGTCTGTCTGTCTGTGTGTCTGTCTGTCGGTGTGTGAGCGTACCAAATTATTCACCCGTCAGTTTTGACGTATGACGACGGGCAAGAAGGCGAGGAAGAGGAGAACAGTCTGCCCCATTTGGGTGGCGGCTACGGCAGCAAATTGCCGCCCGGCATCCTGCCCCACGGGCTGCCCCAGGTGAAGGAGGTCCGCCCGGCTGTGACGCAATTGGAACAGGAACAGAATAAGAAGGAGGAGCAGAAAGAAGGTGAGTTTTTGCGAAAGGTTTTTGTCTTATTTCTGCGGTAAATTAGTTTTTCTGCAACCGACACAAAAGTCGTCCATTTTGATACTAAAATTAGCTATTAAATTGACGTTTCTATTACTGACACAAAAATACGGATGTTGCTAGTCAACATATTTAGTTCCTAGGAGCTAAAGTTGAATTTTAGTACCTAGGAGCTAAAGTTGAACTTTAGCTCCTAGGAACTAAAAAAGATATACTGGACGTCATCAAGAATAAACAACATTGTGACGGCTGGTTATTTGGGTTGAGACGTATACCTGATTTGTTTCCGATTTCAGCAGATTTGGCATTTCATACCCATGCTGGAGATATAATAGCACCTTACTATAGTTTAGTATTGGAATTATAAACATCTCAGTTGAGTATTTTCGTTTTGATCAGGGAAGCTTTCAAGATTCAAATACTTGCTTGATCTGTATTTCATTCGTTATTCTCGGGATGGATAACTTGTTTTTGAATAATCACGGCAAGCAATAGTTTTTTGTCTCAAACAACGATATTGTTTAGCTTCATCTGATTATCGAGTCAAACACAGTGAAGTATGGACAGGAATAAATAATCACTATTATCATTGTTGATATGCTCAATAACCTAACATTTTCCACGTCTTGTTCCTATAGCTGGCACTGGCGCGGTATTTGCCATTAGAGCACCTGGTCCATACACAAATATGTCACTCTGTGGTTGTATTTATATTGAAACTACAATTCGAACATCCTTGAAAACCTAACCTGCTGTTAATGCAGGTAGTATATTCTCACCACATGGATTATTTGTCAATATTTGTTGCATTGCATACATATGGCACGGCATTGGTGGTTACTTCACATGTTTATTTGAGTTCATTGTTTCGGTTGCAGAAAAAATAGCATGTTTCATTCGGATCAAAAGTGACTTTGTTCGACTCGCAAATTTTGCTTTCGCTCGGCTTCGCTAAACGCTCCGCCTCGCAAATGCAAAATTCACTTGTCAAACAAAGTGTCACTTTTGATCCTAATAAAACAATCTACTATTTTATGTGAGTAAACTGAAACAAGGAAATAATTCCAATTTTTTTTTTAATGTAAGACTTCTTGAGGAAAAACTTGTACGTCACTGGGGTGGTGACTTCCCTATTACTGTATTTACAGGGTCATTCCGTATATTTGAACAGCTTCTACAGAAAAAAACTCTCTTTCATGTTCTGGTTCCCACGAAAAGGGATGTCCTGTCCTGTGAACATCGCGAGAACCAAGGTAAATTAGGTAGAAATTGGTGTTCTTCTTGAATTTCTGGAGGTTATATGCCTCGGGGAACACCTCCCTTGGCAATGTGTTCCAGAGCCTCGCTGTTCGTTGGATGAACGAATCTTTGGAATGAGATGTTCTGCAGCAGGTCTCCAAAGTGACCACGAAGGGGTGCGAAGCCTCAACTCGACGGGTTAATCTCGCGTGGACTGCCAAGGAAGGAACAATTGTTGATATTTCGTATATGAAAATATCTATAAAACAGAGCCAGATCGCCAACTTTTCTACGGTGTTCCAGAAAAGTGAGTGAGTTTGTGAGCGAGGCATCACCCACGAGACGAATTGCTCTTTTTTGGACAGAATCCAACAGTTTCAGGGTATGTTTGGGTGCTGCACTCCAAATATGGGAACAGTATTCCAGGACAGGTCGGCTCTGTGCCTTATAGATCATAAGCAGCTGACTGGAAGTGAAATAGTTCCTGGTCCGAAACAGAAAACCAAGTTTTTGGGATGCACTTTTAGCATTTGGTCTCACGTGATTTTCCCAAGAAAAGTTATTGTTGATTGTGATACCAAGCATCGAAATAGATGTCTTCAAAGGTATGGTTACCCCTGACAAGCTTATGTTGGGTACAGTGAGATCGGCTTTTCTAGAGAAAAGACATGCTCGTGTTCTGTTTCCATTGAAATCTACCAAGTTATTGGATTGGTTGGGTTTCTTTTTGTTTCTTTCTTCAAAAAATATTTCTGGGTAGAAATTTTCTCTCCAACTTGTGAAGAATTTTTCGAAAGTTCATTTTTTTTTTGTTAATTATTTTACAATATTCATGCTCCTCTACTGTTTTTTCAGGGTTGAAGAGATTTTTTATTCAATATACTATTATCAATTGTTGTCTCTCTGTTGATGTTTTTTTTTCAATTGTGAGAACTTGGCAATGCAAAATTCTTTTAAGGTGTATCATAATTTTGATAATTTTTTCGAATGGTATATTTATAAAAACATATTAAACAACGACAATTGGTTAATTTCTGTAAAAAAACTTCCTTTACATACAGGGTGTATCTAAATAACACCGAAAAAGGGGTGATTGCTTGTGATATTTTAGGAAATAAAGTTCATATGAACATGTGTCCGAACTTGCTTCGTTTTCAAGATACAGGGTATCAATATTTCCATGACAGATCGGTGTTTTATTCATTACTCAATTGTTTTTTCATCAATTTCAATGAAACGTTGTGGTTTTGTTAATAGTAATATGGAGCTTCTTCTGGTGAAATTAGATTCGAAATAATATTTTCAGTGGCGTCACAGTGGGTAAATTTATCGATATTTATGATGAATTTCATTGTACCCCACCGGTTTTCCTGAGATTGATATTTTTATTAGATTGAACTATTGAAATAACAACTTTTTCATTCTCTGTGTGATTTTTGTATTTTCCTAAGTTCTTGAAGAAACAATTAAAATTCGATCTTACTCCAAATTTAATGTAGGTGTCTTTAAGACATCCATTGAGATTACTCAATAACCCCAATTCCTATCATTTTGAAATTTCGGGGATTTCTCAGTCTCCAACCATACTGAATTTTGGCACCATGAAAGCTTATACAGGGGGGTTAGAAATAAAAACAATTCAAAACTTCCAACTTCAACATCCTGTATCTTAAAAACGGGGCAACCTAGAACACATGTTCATATAAACTTTATTTGCTAGAATATCACCTTGAATTTTTTCGGCATTATTTAGATACGCCCTGTATAGTGGTTGAAATACTAACCCCGTATTCCCAAAATACTTCTTTTTTTTTATTTTTCAATTCATCCCATAAATATATATTTCAATATTTAGTTAGGGAGCTCAGTGAAGAGGAAAAACAGATGATAATACTTTCCGAAGACTTTCAACATTTCGTCGACAGAGCTGGAAGAATAATGGAAAGGGCCTTATGTGAGAGCATAGACATTTATATGGATTATACAGGAGGATTAGGAGATGATGGACTGTAAGTTTCAACTACCGAATACCTCGAAATATTCAATTTCCATTGCAATTTCATCACTATGGTATAGAAAAAAAACTTCGAATATAAAAATTGTAGGCAACAGTAATTTCGTCGTACCCCAAAATTTGGCCTCAGTTGAAATATGAATAACTTTTTTCTGCTTTGAACGATTTGAATTCGGATCACACTGTTCGCTAGCCCAGTATAGTATATATATAGTATATCTCCCGCTCCTGTAAGTTTCAGTATCCTAACTCAACAATTACGAAACATACAGGGGTGCTTCCATTAAAAGTGAGACACACTGTATAATGTTCACCTTGAGTCAATCCTGATCTTCATATCTCTCATCTGAAGTTTCAGCTTCAAAATGAGATTTTAAAAACGGATTGACAAGGACAAAAGTTATAACTGCAAAACCAGAAAGTCAATTTTTTGTGATCACTCTGTAAATAAGAGAGATAAGAAGACAATTTGGAAAATGTCCCTAGGTAATGAGATCATCTTCATGCCTCTGCTATCAAAGTTGAAAAAGAAGTGTTTTCTCATTCGGGATCCGTCTGAAAATTCCGAAATTTTTCGTAGTTTCAGGTCACACCCCGTAGCGATTTTATATGAAGAACCTCATGTTTTAAAGAAGTACGAGATTATAGCTGAAGGACTGGGCTAACGAATGGTGTAATCCGAATTCGAATTGTTCAAAGCAGAAAAAAGTTATTCATATTTTAACAGGGACAAAATTTTGGGGTACGACGAAATTAGTGTTGCGTAGTTTATATTCGTTTTAAATAAAAATTTAGTTGATAGGCGAGAGATACAATATTTTTTATTGATTAGCCCAATCTTTGTCAACTTGTCTATGACGCTAGTTTGCTGAAAACGTCGGTCGCTAATTTTTTTCAATAGGATATCTCGCTTTGAAGTTTGGGAAAATTTGATATAGACTTATCTTCAATCAATCACATAATTGTGATTGATCCTGTGTTTTGTTCGTCTTTCCAACTAAATATGTCATTATCGTCTTATACAATTTTATCACTACTAACATCAATGTGAACCAACCTCCAAAAAGATGTAAGTAAAATTCCCTTAGTAGAATTAATGTGACCTAATGGAAAATTGTTGTAGTATCCCTGATGATGGAAATATAAGATTCCGAGAGCTTGGACAAACTTCAAAGAGTACTCTTTGCACTTTGCTGCATTCCCCAATAAACCTAGTTCTACCTATATATTTATTTATATATGAAACTAGTGTATAATACTCTTTAAAGTTTATACAAGGTTTCGGAAATGTTTATTTCCATCATCAGAAATAATCTTTGGTGAGGTTGGTTACAACGTTGTTATATATAAGATTGTAAAAGAAACGGTGACATATTGTGTAAAATTGAATACGTAGCCACATAGGAGACTAACATCTGTACATCTGAAAGATCAACTGTTACTCATTTTGTTGTTAATTCAAAATTTTAAAATTGGGTTAAAAAAAATTGATTCCCGCAAGTCACATTTTTCACATCATGAGCCCTGAATTCGCGTATCTTCCAGGGATGAAAAATCGCACCAGCGAATATCCCTCAACAGGCACTTCTTCGACGAACGATGGTCGAGAAATCGCACTGTCACCTCTCTCGATTGGTCCCCCCAATTTCCCGAACTCCTTCTGGCCTCCTACAACAACAACGAAGAGTTGCCCAACGACCCTGACGGGGTAGTCCTTGTCTGGAACACCAAGTACAAGAAGGCCACGCCCGAGTACATATTTCACTGTCAGAGTGCCGTGCTGTCGGCTACATTCGCCAGGTTCGACATTTATTTTTTTTAGATTATTTGTTGCGGAATTTTTGACACTGTGTACTTTACATCGTATCAACGTTCAAACATCGTCGTAATGTGTATTGTGTTCATTCAACATTGAATCAACGTTCAAAAGTCAGACGTTTGGCATAGAATGAACATGGAATCAAATGCTTCTGTATGTTTTTCAACTTTTCAACATTTGAAAATCAATGGATAGTGTGTTTTTTAGTTATTTTAATATCAGTTAAACGTAAATTCAATAATGAAAAGTCAACTGGAACATGTTTACTAGTTATTTGACATTGGATAAATGTAAGGGAAACTTTCTAAAAGTCAACTGAAACGTGTTTTCAGTCATTTGACATTAGATTACGTAAGGTCAACGTTGATAAGTCAACTGTAACGTGATTTTTAGTAATTTTACACTGGATTGACGTAATGTTAACGTTACAAACTTAACTGGAAGGGTGTTTTCAGTCATTCAGCATTGAATCAACGTTTAAAAGTCGAATGGTGAATTATTCGCAACTTCAGAGCTCGCTTGTTGAATGTTTTTTTGTTTCCAGACGTTGGGCATAGAATAAACATGAAATCAAAGGCTGTCTGTATGTTTTTCAACTTTTCAACATTTGAAAATCAACGAATAATTAGTTTTTCAGTTATTTGAGACCAGATAAAAGTAAATTCAATATTTAAAAGTCAACTGGAACATGTTTTTTAAGGTATTTGACATTTGATAAACGTAATGGCTACGTGAAAAAGTCAACTGTAACGTGTTTTCAGTCATTTGACATTAGATTACGTAAGGTCAACGTTGATAAGTCAACTGTAACGTGTTTTTTACTAATTTGATACTGGATTAATGTAAAGTCAACGTAAAAAACTTAACTGGAAGGGTGTTTTCAGTCATTCAACATTGAATCAACGTTTAAAAGTCGAATGGTGAATTATTCGTAAGTTCAAAGCTGGTTTGTTGAATGTTCCTCTTGTTTTCAGACGTTCGGCATAGAATAAACATGAAATCAAATGCTGTCTGTATGTTTTCAACTTTTCAACATTTGAAAATCAACGACTAATGTGTTTATTTTAGTAATTTGAGATCAGATAAAAGTAAATTCAATATTGAAAAGTCAACTGGAACATGTTTTTCAAGGTATTTGACATTTGATAAACGTAAAGGTAACGTGAAAAAGCCAACTGAAATGTATTTTCAGTCATTTGACATTAGATTACGTAAGGTCAACATTGATAAGTCAACTGTAACGTGTTTTTTAGTAATTTGACACTGGACTAACGTAAAGTCAACGTTAAAAACTCTACTGGAAGGGTGTTTTCAGTCATTTAACATTGAATCAACGTTTAAAAGTCGAATGGTGAATTATTCGCAACTTCAAAGCTGGTTTGTTGAATGTTTCTCATGTTTTGAGATGTTCGGCATAGAATAAACGTGAAACCAAATGCTGTCTGTATGTTTTTCAGTTATTCCAGATCAGATAAACGTAAATACAATATTGGAAAATCAACTAGACCATGTTTTTTTTAGGAATTTGACATCTGATAAACGTAAGGGCAACCTCAAAAAGTCAACTGAAACTTGTTTTTAGTCATTCGACATTAGATGATATAAGATCAACATTGATTAGTCAACTGTAACGTGTTTTTTAGTAATTTGACACTGGATAAACGTAAAGTCAACGTTAAAAACCTAACTGGAAGGGTGTTTACATTCATTCGACATAGAATCAACGTAAGGTCAACGTTAAAGAGTGAAATACGAAACGTAATTTTCTGAAAGTATGAAGATACTAATAACTAGATTTTCTTGAAGGTTTCATCCCAATCTGATATTGGGCGGTACGTATTCGGGACAGATCGTACTTTGGGACAATCGGGTGCAGAAAAGGACGCCCATACAAAGGACACCTCTGTCTGCGTCTGCCCACACTGTAAGTATATTTGTAGTTATGAACTAACTCTGAAGGGCAAGTATTTTTCGTCCGCAAACTCATACTGACCACAGTGGACGGAAAGTTAGTTACTGTTTTTTTGGACGAGTAGAAATTTCACGTCGATAATTTTCAGATTTCAAAATATGTAATATCTTCTCAATATTGTTTCGTCCTCTCTTCTGTCACAGAAAAAAATAGTGTAAACTACTCAACACTAATTTCGTCGCACACCAAAATGTCGCCCCTGTTATAATGTGAATAACTTTTTCCAGTTTAAAACAATTTGAATTTGGTTCACACTGTTCGATAGCCCAGTCCTTCAGCTATAATCTCGTACTTCATTGAAACATAAAGGTATCCACATAAAATTTCTACATGGTGTTTTTCGACACTGTGCGGAATTTCGGAATATTCAAAAGGCTCTCAAATGGTGAAAAAAATTGTATTATCAACTTCGACAACAGAGGCATGAAGATGATCTCATTACCTCGACATATTTCGCGAATGAACTTCCTATCTCTCTTATTTACAGAGTGATCTCAAAAAATCAACTTTTTGGTTTCGCAGCCATAACTTTTTTCCAAGTCAACCGATTTTGGAAATCTTAGGCTCATTTTGAAGATAAAATTTTAGATGAAGAGATCTGAATATCAGAATCGACTCAAGATGGCTATCAAATATCTAGAGTTTTCTTGAAAGTGACCCAAATCTGGAACGCCCTCCGAATCTCGGTTGGGAGGAGAATTGAATGAAAATCAACTTGTTCTCGGAAAAAGAATTCATTCTGGATGCGTCCATATTTTCCTCGCTCTCAGTAGTCAAGAATTGTGCGTGAGAAATCACAATTGAAACAATCATGTTCTTGCACAAACATTAGATCATTTCTCCTCTGTAATGCATAGCCCGCCGTAACCAACGTTACAAGAATCACAATGAGTGACTGACAAACCCGACCAGCTGAGGCTCATCATAAATGGTGTAGCAACAAGAGCAACGGATTTTGATTTTTTTAATAAAGTGATTTTTTTAACAGATGTCACGTACATAACATGCTATTTAAGAATATGAAAAAGTATTCAAGCGAACAACGTTTATTTATTTTAAAAACGCATTTCAAGAATGGTGAAAGTTTCACGAAAACAGTCGCAGTAATGCGCCGAACGAATCGACAGTAATAACCAAACAATTCGTGTCGGAGATAAGCCCTTTGAATGGATCGGACTGTCGTGTTTAGCAGATCCGCGATTTGGAGAGAAGATAACCCTTGTTCGCTCATTTGTGGAATCAGTTCCAACTGGTCGGGCGTCAGATGCGGCATCGAAACTATCAAAATCTGTTTATGATTCGAAAACGACGTCTAACCTGACTTGTCAGTCACTTACTGTGATTCTTGTAACGTTGGTTACGGGCCATGCATTACAGAGGAGAAATGGTCTAATGTTTTTGCAAGAACATGTTTCAATTGTGTTTTCTGACGCACAATCTTGAGTACTGAGAGCGAGGAAAATATGGACGCATCCAGAATGAATTGTTTTTCCGAGAACAAGTTGATTTTCATTCAATTCTCCTCCCAACCAAGACTCGGAGGGCCTTCCAGGTTTGGGTCACTTTCAAGAAAACTCTAGATCTTTGATAGCCATCTTGAGTCAATTCTGATATTCAGACCTCTTCATCTGAAGTTTTATCTTCAAAATGAGCCTAAGATTTCCAAAATTGGTTGACGTGGAAAAAAGTAATGGCTGCAAAACCAAAAAGTTGATTTTTTGAGATCACTCTGTAATTAAGAGAGATAGGAAGTTGATTCGCGAAATATCTCGAGGTAATGAGATCATCTTCATGCCTCTGTTGTCAAAGTTGAGAAAAAATCTGTTTTCACCATTTTAGAGACTTTTGAATATTCCGAAATTTTGCACAGTGTCGGAAAACACCATGCAGAGATTTTATGTAAATACCCTTATGTTTCAATGAAGTACGAGATTATAGCTGAAGGACTGGGCTATCGAACAGAGTGAACCAAATTCAAATTGTTTTAAACTGGAAAAAGTTATTCACATTATAACAGGGGCGACATTTTGGTGTGCGACGAAATTAGTGTTGAGTAGTTTATTATACACGGGAAAAATATTAGATTTTAGCTCACGGTTTTTTGTCTCTCTCCGCTACGCGTCGGGAGACAACACAACCTGGAGCTAAAATCTACAACTTTTTTCCCTTGTAAAATAAATAAAAAAATTTCCCTCGGGCACAAACATTCAGAAGAAAGTCCCAGTAATAACCGAAGTTCAAGTGGCATATCACGAGTGAAAATTCACCCCAATCTTCCCCCCCTAGCATCCCGTATACTGCATGAGCGTGGTAGGCACCCAGAACGCCCACAACCTCATCAGCATCTCCACCGACGGTCGTCTCTGTTCGTGGTCGCTCGACATGCTCGGCCAGCCGCAGGAGATCCTCGATCTGCATCGCGCCCAAACCAAGCCGGCGGCGGTCACGTGCTTGGACTTCCCCCACTCCGACGTCAACAATTTCGTGGTGGGCAGCGAAGAGGGGGCAGCCTATTCGGCTTGTAGGCATGGGGCGAAAGCCGGGGTGACTGATACTTATGATGGGCATCAAGGGCCTGTGACTGGGGTGTCTGTTAATGCGGTGCAGGGTGGCATCGATTTTTCCCATATGTTTTTGACGTCTTCGATCGATTGGACGATCAAGTTGTGGAGTTTGAAGGTAAGAATGAATTTTTTCAGTGTTTGATTTTCTCATTTTTTCTCAGTTTTTATCATCTACATTGTTACGCCCACAAAGTTTTTAATTAATCATCATTTTGATGAATTTATAACATTAATATGGCCTTGGCAATAATTCTCCAACCATACCTTTGAAGACATCCATTTGGATGCTTGGTATTATTATCAGCAATAACCTTTCTTGGGAAAATCACGTGAGATCAATTGCTGAAAGTGCATCCCAAAAACTTGGTTTTCTATTTAGGGCCAGGAGCTATTTCACTTCCAGTCAGCTGCTTATGATCTATGATCTATAAGACACAGATTCGGCTTGTCCTGGAATACTGTTTCCATATTTGGAGTCCAGCACCCAAACATACCCTGAAACTGCTGGATTCTGTCCAAAAAAGGGTAATTCGTCTCGTGGGTGATGCCGCGCTCACAAACTCGCTCCATTCTCTGTTACACTGTAGAAAAGTTGGTGATCTGGCTCTATTTTATAGATATTTTCATAGACGATGCTCTTCTGAAATATCAACGATTGTTCCTCCCTGCAGAACGTCTCTTTCCAAAGACTCTTCATCCAACGAACAGCGAGGCTCTTGAACACATTGCCAAGGGAGGTGTTCCCTGAGGCGTATAACCTCCAGAAATTAAAAAAAAAAACACCAATTCTTACCTTATTTCCCTTGGTTCTCACGATGTTCTCTGAACATTACAGGATATCCCTTTTCGTGGGAACCAGAACATAAAAAAACATTTTCCCAACTTTATCTACGAATATGTCTGATAGTAGTGAAAGTGATGAAATTATGAGCACTCCACCACACATAATTTGTTACTGCTAATTATCGATCTTCGTCTAATGAACATCTCATGCGGTGTACCGCAAGGGTCAGTCTTGGGACCAGTTCTATTTTTGATCTACATAAATTCAATATCAAACTTGGAATTGAGAGGAAAACTTAAATTATTTGCAGATGACACGACATTGATTTATTTCTCTAAAGATTCAAATAATATTATCATGGACATGAAAAGTGATTTAGAGAAAATATCCTCTTGGTTACAAGTTCATAAACTATCTCTCAATTATAACAAATCCTCATATATGTACATAGCAAAAAGAACATTGAACATTTCAAATAGAACACTATCCTTCAACAATAAACTCATCGAATATACAGATGTTACAAAATTTTTTAGGTCTTTATATTGATGAACGACTATTGTGGAATAAACATATAGATCATTTGAGAAACAAACTTAATCCTATTACAGGCATTTTATTCAAAATACGAAATTTCATTTCTACCAGATACTTGAAGAGTATTTATTTCTCTCTTATTTACTCAAAATTTCAATACCTTATATCTATATGGGGAAGTACCAATATTTCACGTTTGAGTCCACTAATGAAATTACAAAATAAAACATTGAAGTGTATTTTCAATTTAAATTTTCTCGAACCAACCATGAATTTATACAAACCTAGAGATTTATTAGATCTGACATCACTATATAAACTTAAAATATGTTGTTTTATTCAATTTGTCCTATATAAATTGAAAATTTCGAATTTAAATTTCAATGAAATCAATTCATTACATAATCATGGAACAAGACAATCAAATTTACTAATAGCAAATACGTTCAAGTCAAATATCGGCAAACAATCAATTTTTCACACAGGAATCGTTCTATACAACTCATTACCAAGTCAATTGAGGAATATACAGGAAGCAACTAGATTCAAAATTAACTTGAAAAAATATCTGCTTCAGAGACTTTGATAATTCCATTTCTTATTTGAATACCTACTTATAAAAGACTAGGTTGATATTGCATGATTATTTGCATTTTTTTTTACTTGTTATATCTTATTATAATTTCATAATTGTATGTATAACATTATGTATATTGTTTATGTATCCCTATTATAAACAACTATGTTTCTTGGGGTAATAAAGACAATCAATAACTAACCGGTCATCACCTTTAAATAATAAGGCACAATCGATTCACAATAATTGTTCAGTTGTTATTAACAACTATCATAATAAAGATTGAATGATTGCGATGTTTTTTATTCAATGAAAGAAAATAAATGGGCGTAGAAAAAGTATAGTACGTTACAAAAAAAAAACTTCTGTTTTTTGCAGGACTCGAAGCCCATGTACTCGTTCGAGGACAACGGGGACTACGTGCTAGACGTGAAATGGTCGCCCTGCCACCCTGCCCTGTTCGCCTCCGTGGACGGGGGCGGCCGCCTCGATCTGTGGAACCTCAACCAGGACACTGAAGTGCCGGCGGCTAGCGCCCTAGTGGGCGGCGGCGCGGCCCTGAACAAGGTGTCGTGGGCGCCCTCTGGACTGCAAATTACCGTGGGCGACGGGCAAGGGAAGATTTGGGTGTACGATGTGGCGGAGGTGAGTTGGGGAAGGGAGACGGATGGACTGAAGTTCCTAATGTATTGATACTTTTTGTTGAAATATCCAGCTGTCGTGCTGCTCTCTTTTCTTCTTGAAAAACTCAGCAGTCTTTAAGGTTTGATTCGTCCTTATCCGGCTCGAAGGACCAATATGTTGGATGCTTGATAGATAGGAGACTGTATTTTTATGGTTATATGATATACTATGAATATGAAATGAAGATTGATACTAGAATTGCGATTCATATTGCGATCCTTCTTTATTTATCGACTTTATCGGGAAATATTATGTTTCAACAACACTGCGTCATGTTAACAATAAATCGAAATCTCCAAACTATTATATGGGTCATACAAGTACTAAACATTTTTCCTATGACGTTTTGGTATATTTTGAGTAGGGATCCTCTGACAAGCACTGACAGTAAGACATAACTACAAATAAATAGATGAATAATGCGGAAACTAAAACTAAAACACGAACGTAAAGGATATATTTTTCCAAACGTTTGTGAAATTAAAAACAAATTGAGAAAATGTTGAGATACAACTTTGTGATATTTTCAACTGTAAAAATCGATGGGTGTACGATGTGGCGGAGGTGATTTGGGAAAGGTGGCGTCCTTGTTTCAATTCATATTGCGATCCTTCTTTATTTATCGACTTTATCGAGAAATATAATGTTTCAACAACACTGCATCATGTTAACAATAAATCGAAATCTCCTAACTATTATATGGGTCATACAAGTACTAAACATTTTTCCTATGACGTTTTGGTATATTTTGAGTAGGGATCCTCTGACAAGCACTGACAGTAAGACATAACTACAAATAAATAGATGAATAATGCGGAAACTAAAACTAAAACACGAACGTAAAGGACATATTTTTTCAAAGGTTTGTGAAATTAAAAACAAATTGAGAAAATGTTGAGATACAAGTTTGTGATATTTTCAACTGTAAAAATCGATGGGTGTACGATGTGGCGGGGGTGATTTGGGAAAGGTGGCGTCCTTGTTTGAGGACATTGGGACGGATGTACTGGAGTTGCCTAATGTATTGATACTTTTTGTTGAAATATCCAGCTGTCGTGCTGCTCTCTTTTCTTCTTGAAAAACTCAGCAGTCTTGAAGGTTTGATTCGTCCTTATCCGGCTCGAAGGACCAATATGTTGGATGCTTGATAGATAGGAGACTGTATTTTTATGGTTATATGATATACTATGAATAAGAAATGAAGATTGATATTAGAATTGCGATTCATATTGCGATCCTTCTTTATTTATCGACTTTATCGAGAAATATTATGTTTCAACAACACTGCGTCATGTTAACAATAAATCGAAATCTCCAAACTATTATATGGGTCATACAAGTACTAAACATTTTTCCTATGACGTTTTGGTATATTTTGAGTAGGGATCCTCTGACAAGCACTGACAGTAAGACATAACTACAAATAAATAGATGAATAATGCGGAAACTAAAACTAAAACACGAACGTAAAGGATATATTTTTCCAAACGTTTGTGAAATTAAAAACAAATTGAGAAAATGTTGAGATACAACTTTGTGATATTTTCAACTGTAAAAATCGATGGGTGTACGATGTGGCGGAGGTGATTTGGGAAAGGTGGCGTCCTTGTTTCAATTCATATTGCGATCCTTCTTTATTTATCGACTTTATCGAGAAATATAATGTTTCAACAACACTGCATCATGTTAACAATAAATCGAAATCTCCTAACTATTATATGGGTCATACAAGTACTAAACATTTTTCCTATGACGTTTTGGTATATTTTGAGTAGGGATCCTCTGACAAGCACTGACAGTAAGACATAACTACAAATAAATAGATGAATAATGCGGAAACTAAAACTAAAACACGAACGTAAAGGACATATTTTTTCAAAGGTTTGTGAAATTAAAAACAAATTGAGAAAATGTTGAGATACAAGTTTGTGATATTTTCAACTGTAAAAATCGATGGGTGTACGATGTGGCGGGGGTGATTTGGGAAAGGTGGCGTCCTTGTTTGAGGACATTGGGACGGATGTACTGGAGTTGCCTAATGTATTGATACTTTTTGTTGAAATATCCAGCTGTCGTGCTGCTCTCTTTTCTTCTTGAAAAACTCAGCAGTCTTGAAGGTTTGATTCGTCCTTATCCGGCTCGAAGGACCAATATGTTGGATGCTTGATAGATAGGAGACTGTATTTTTATGGTTATATGATATACTATGAATAAGAAATGAAGATTGATATTAGAATTGCGATTCATATTGCGATCCTTCTTTATTTATCGACTTTATCGAGAAATATTATGTTTCAACAACACTGCGTCATGTTAACAATAAATCGAAATCTCCAAACTATTATATGGGTCATACAAGTACTAAACATTTTTCTTATGACGTTTTGGTATATTTTGAGTAGGGATCCTCTAACAAGCACTGACGGTAAGACATAACTACAAATAAATAGATGAATAATGCGGAAACTAAAAATAAAACACGAACGTAAAGGACATATTTTTTCAAAGGTTTGTGAAATTAAAAACAAATTAAGAAAATGTTGAGATACAAGTTAGTGATATTTTCAACTGTAAAAATCGATGGGTGTACGATGTGGCGGAGGTGAGTTGGGAAAGGTGGCGTCCTCGTTTGAGGACGCTGGGACGGGTGTACTGGAGTTGCCTAGTGTATTTTAAACCAAGGGTGAGGTTGTGTGTACTTTGTAATATTCAAAATATTAACAAACGAAGGCTTTAGTACACAGTCTTTATTACAAGCAAATTCTCAAACGTTTTCGGTTACAAGTCATCATCAGGAGTAATTTCTGAAAGTGAGTGAAGATTAGAAAATCTGAATTGAAGTTATGTTATAGGTTAATAAATTTGATAAATTTTAATGAAGTTCTACTCACTTGTCAGAGTTTTCACGAATGATTAAAACACAAACAGAACATTATTATGTGCTCAACACGAGAAAACTAAGTGTATTGTTTAAAATTAACTAAAATAAAATAAAGAAAAGCAATTGTACATGTGCTCTTACATTTTCGGCGGGACGACTGAGTGAATGAGGTTAAAGTTAAAATGCATATGACATCTTGAAAAATTATCTAAATTAACATACCATCAAGACAGTGACAGGTTTCACATGAATTAAAAAACACAAGAACCTAAAAATCAATGAAAGACAATTAATGACATAGACTAATGACATTTGCAATGCTGACATACAGTTGACATAAAACCAATCTATCAACAAAGAGGAGGAGTTTGATTGAGACAATAAAATGAGTTTTTTCCTCTGACATAATGTAATATTTTGACACCTGTATCTAGGTTGATATTGTGATTACTGGTATTCATATAACATAACTAGTCACCATAAGTATACTCTGGTCAGTTCACTTTGTGAATCTTCTGTTCGGTTCGTCTTGACTGGGTGGTTTTCTCCGATTGAGTGGCAAGTATCAAACACTGCTTTTCGGATCTACAACTAAAAATCACATATTAATCGAAGTACATTCGAGTCAGAAAATTAATATTAGATGAAGTACATTGATGTTGAATCTGAGACATACCTGAATGATATTTTCAACGTCCGTAACTAGATTGCTACATATCCGCTTTCTTTCCGAATATTGTTTTTTCCAGTAGGCATCTTCCACATTTTCAATTACGTACGTGGGTTATATTAAGGACCTTGAAGGCCAAACGATGTGCTGCTCGGATCTAAAACTAAGGATCAATTTCAAATTTGAATCGTGAGACCTACATAGAATATTGGATATTTTTTTCAACATTCGTAACTGGAACGCGATATATTTTTGTAATTCATCAACTATCTCAATGAAGACGAGACAGGCAGATAAACAACAATTTTCTCTGCAATGAAGAACACTGTATATACCTAACCCACCATGCGCCTACCTCCTTTGCAGAGAGGGTTTATAAACGCCGAGTTGATACTCTCCCCTCGTAAGGGTACCTGTCGTGTTTCCATAGAGACATAAAGGTGAATATCTGTCTATCTGTCTGCTTGAGAATCTGGAAAGGTAATCAATATATCGCCTTCCGTACGAATATAATGATCTGAATTCTGTGAAGTATACTCCCCAGAGTTCTCTTCGCGGATCTTCTGTTCGGTCCGTATTTACTGGATGATTTTCTCCGATTGAGTGGCAAATATCAAACACTGCTTCTTGGATCTGCAACTAAAAATCACATTTAAATCGAAGTACATTTAAATCAGGAAATTAATATCATCAGATGAAGTACAAGGATGTTGAATCTGAGACATACCTGAATGATATTTTCAACGTCCGTAACTGGACTGTTACATAAAATATCCGCTTTCTTTCCGAATAGTGTTTCTTCCAGTAGGCATCTTCCACATTTTCAATTACGTACGTGGGTTATATTAAGGACCTTGAATGCCAAACGATGTGCTGCTCGGATCTAAAACTAAGGATCAATTTCAAATTTGAATCGTGAGACCTACATAGAATATTGGATATTGTTTTCAACATTCGTAACTGGAACGCGATATATTCTTGTAATTCATCAACTATCTCAATGAAGACGAGACAGGCAGATAAACAACAATTTTCTCTGCAATGAAGAACACTGTATATACCTAACCCACTATGCGCCTACCTCCTTTGCAGAGAGGGTTTATAAACGCCGAGTTGATACTCTCCCCTCGTAAGGGTACCTGTCGTGTTGCCATAGAGACATAAAGGTGAATATCTGTCTATCTGTCTGCTTGAGAATCTGGAAAGGTAATCAATATATCGCCTTCCGTACGAATATAATGATCTGAATTCTGTGAAGTATACTCCCCAGAGTTCTCTTCGCGGATCTTCTGTTCGGTCCGTATTTACTGGATGATTTTCTCCGATTGAGTGGCAAGTATCAAACACTGCTTCTTGGATCTGCAACTAAACATCACATTTAAATCGAAGTACATGGATGTTGAATCTGAG